TTTGATTTGTTTGTTTTTCTTTTTCGAGACAGGGTTTCTCTGTGTAGCCTTGGAGCCTATCCTGGCACTCGCTCTGGAGACCAGGCTGGCCTCAAACTCACAGAGATCTGCCTGCCTCTGCCTCCTGAGTGCTGGGACTAAAGGCTTGTGTCACCAACAAGCGGCTTTTTTTTTTTTTTTTTTTTTTTTTTTTTTTTTTTTTGGTTTTTTGAGACAGTTTCTGGCTGTCTTAGAACTGGCTATGTATACTAGGCTGGCCTCTGCTTCCCAAGTTCTGGGACTAAAGGCATGCACCACTACTTCCTGGTTCTATCTTCATTTATTTTATTATTTACTTACTTATTTGCTTGTTTATTTTGATTTTTTGAGACAGGGTTTCTCTGTTTAACAGACCTGGCTGTCCTGAAACTCACTCTGTAGACCAGTCTGGCCTCACAGAGATTCTCCTGCCTCTGCCTCCTGAGTGCTGGCATTAAAGTCATGCGCCACCACTGCCAGGCTCCAACTCTTAATCTTAAAGAAAATATAAACATTCTGTAGGGAATTTGTCAAGTTGGGCAGCTAGGCAACAGGAGTGATTCTGAGATGATGTTTATGGCAGAGACTGTCAGGCCAGCACAGGTCAACACTAGGAAGTGACAGCTTCACTCTAAGTTTTAGGGAGTGACGTGGAAGCCCGGAGGGGACAATCCACTCAGCTGGAGTAGCACAGCGCCTGTCTATGGAGCAACCTTAAGGGGAAGGAGGAATTGTCTTGTTTCCCATCCTACTGCAGGCATTGACTGCACTGTAGATTCCTGACCCAGCACCCCCACAGGGAAGGGGAGGGGCATTTGACCCCAATGCCCTATTTTCCTCTGTACCTCCCAGGAAATGAAGATGGAAGAGTTCAGGACCCATGAGATGGCTCTGCCTGTAAAAGCTCTTGCTATGCAAACATGACAATCTGAGTTTGATCCCTGGGACCCAGGGAAAGGAGGCTGGAGTGAATCAGCTCTACAAAGTGGCTCTCAGGCTTCCACATATCCCCGGTGGCACACATCCACCCCCACGGCACACGTGCAAGTGTGCACACACACAGTAAATCTACGTGTGGCATAGGTCACATTCAGCCGGAGAATCAAAGATTCCATGGAAAATATGTCATTTTCAAATGGGCCTGAGAGAATGAGTATAAAGGAAGGGGTATTAGGGAAGACAGTACTTTGCAGTGTGGTAGGTCCCACTGTATATAAAATGAAGTAAAGGAGTCCAGGCTGTACAGGGGAGTCAAGGCCAAACAACATAGGGCCCCAAATGACAGGCCAAGGCGGTTACATCGAATAAAACCACAGAGCCCACTAAGAAGGAAGCCTGATGGAAAGGAGGCATGCAGACACTGGACCAGAGGTAGCTGCTGCAACAGTCCAGGGTGCAGGGAGCCTATACAGGAGCAGGCTGGAGCAGAAATGGTGGGTGCCAGAGCAATGGTGGTACACCCTTGTGATCTCAAGGCTTGGGAGGCCGAAGCAGGAGGATCCTGTCAGAGAAGGGAAGGAGGAAAGCAGACAAAGAGGGAACCAGGTGTTAGTGGTACACGCCTTCAATCACTGCACTTGGGAGGCTTGTTCTCCCTGTAGCTCTTGAACCCACCATTTCTGTTCCAGCTTGCTCCTCTTGGGAGGTGAGGGGGAACAATTTGGAAATAGTTGGGTTGAATTGTTCTGGTTAAGCTGTCAGGTCTTGTGGAGGTGATGGAGAGAAACAGAGAACACTGAACAGGGTAGACTTGACAAACACTGATGTGGACAGAGGGAGAGGAGTTGTCAGCCTTAAGATATGGAGCACAGGCTGGAGAGATGGCTCAGCGGTTAAGAGCACTGACTGTTCTTCCAGAGGTCCTGAGTTCAATTCCCGGCAACCACATGGTGGTTCACAACCACCTTGAATAAGATCTGGTGCCCTCTGCTGGCATGCAGGCAGAACCCTGTATACATGATAAATAAAGAAAATCTTATAAAAAAAAAAAAAAGATATGGAACCCAAGCTCAGGAGATGGGCTCAAGGGACAGAGAGCATCCCAGTGAATAGTAGCTGACGGAAGGAAGGTGCCACTGAACATCAGGGTAAGAGGGAGGTAGATGAAGGGCCTTGCGAATGAACCAGGAATGTATCAGGAATCTCAAGCAGTATCAGAAGCCACAGGAGCCCAGAGATTGAGAAAGGGAGTGGTTATTGGCTATGTGGGTGTGGCTGTCACCCTCTGACTCTCACAAAAGGCTTCTCAGGGACAGAAGCCCGGCTGCAAACAGGTTAAGGGGCAAGGGGCAAAGGGCGTGGAGTCAGCTGAGAAGCCGGGAAGGGAGATGGGAAGCAGGGAGGATGGTCTGGGACTTTGGCAGAGATTGGGGGCTGGGGGACAAAAGCCCAGAGGCTCAGCATGGAAAGCCTTGTACTCTTTAAAAAGAGGACATAATGGACCCTGCTAAGGAGCTGGAGGCGGTGGTACACCTCTGTAACCCAGCACTCAGGAGACAGAGGCAGGAAGATTAGAATTTCAAGGCCAGCTTTGACTAGAGTGAGTTCATCATCCTGGGCTATACAAAAGCTTGTCTCGATAGATAAATAAATAAATAAATAAATAAATAAATAAATAGACAAAGACCTTGGTAAGAAGCCAAGACCTTAGCCAGGAGGTGGTAGCACTTGGAAGCAGAGGCAGGTGGATCTCTGAGTTCGAGGCCAGCCTGGTCTACAGAGTGAGTTCCAGAACAGCTAAGGCAACACAGAGAACCCCTGTCTTGGAAAAAAAAAAAGCCAAGCCTATGATGTCAAGTCATCCCTGACACACTGGAAAGGATAGAACATGGAGGGGACCTCGGCTCACTTCCCTTGCCCTTTCTGTGGGCTCCGATGCACCGGGAAAGGGGAGGATGTCTAATATTCTCAAGGCCAGCATGGAGGAAGCAAGCAGCCTTTCCCTTGTAAGAGACTGTGGTCCAAGTTGGGGAGGATCTGTGTATACCCCAACCAGCCCATGCTGTAATCATGTTTCCTAGGTAACTTTCCTTTATCTGGGACTGTTCTGTAGTAGGCTGAATGGTAGAACCCCAAAGATTCATTCTAGCCCTCAAGAACCTGTTATGTGGCCTTCCTTAGAAAAGGGGCTCTTGCCGGGTGTTGGTGGCACACGTCTTTAATCCCAGCACTCTGTAGGCAGAGGCAGGAGGATCTCTGTGAGTTTGAGGCCAGCCTGGTCTACAGAGAGTGTTCCAGGACAGCCAGAGCTGTTATACAGAGAAACCCTGTCTCAATGCCCACTCCCCCCATACACACACACACATGAAAGAAAGAAAGAAAGAAAGAAAGAAAGAAAGAAAGAAAGAAAGAAAGAGGAAAGAAGGAAGGGAAGAAAAAGAAAGAGGAAGGAAGGAAGGGAAGAAAAAGAAAGAAAGAGGAAGGAAGGAAGGAAAGAAAGAAAGAAAGAAAGAAAGAAAGAAAGAAAGAAGGGGCTCCTGAAGGGCCAGTGGTACATGCCTGTAGTCCCTGCACTTAAGATTTAGAGGCAGGAGGGTCACAGCAAGTTTCAGCTCAGCCTAGTCTACATCACAAAGCCCACGCCTTGGAGGGCTACATAATAAGACCCTGTCTCAAAACAGTAGGAAACAGTCAGTTTGGAATCACACAATTAACTCAGAATACTGGGTGGACTCCAAAGTTAACGACTAACATCCTGAGGAGAGGACAGGCCTCCAGACCAGGAGGGAGGGAACGCCTAGGGCCATTAAAAGCTGGAAAGCAAGGGACTCTCCCTTGGAGCCCTGGGGAAAGCAGAGCTCTATGCTGTCATTTTGTCCTGGCCTGTTCAAGTGTGAGTGGAAAAAAAATCCCTGTTTTAAACCTGTCGCCTCTGTGATAATTTGCTGTGATAGATCAGAAACCAAATTCTGCTCCCTACTCTGTAAAATGTCTGGAAGTTTCCAGGGAGCCTTGGGGCTCTAAGAGCCTTCAAGCTAAACCTTGCCCAGAAGGGAGTTCTAGGTCTGACCAAATGTGACAGGTAGAGAACAAATTCTTCCAGCGGGGGGGAGGGGAGCCAAGCTACCTCAGTCCTTCCTGCCCCTTAGAAAAGGCACTTTGCCTAGAGCTGCGCTCTCTGCCCCCAGCTCCAGGCCGGTAAAAGGCACAAAGCCCATCCCACCACTCCACACCTGCCTTCCCAGAATCACCATCTTTTCAGGGTGCTTCTCCCTACACCCCAAATCTGCCTTTTCCCTTCCCGTTTTTTCATTCCTGGGGGGCAGGAGAGGAGCGATATCCTTGAGCCCCAGTGGAATGGAAAGCACTCTCCTACCCCTCCTTCCCCTTCCCAGGACACAGCTGGAGGGGGGAGGGGAGGTCAGCAGGGTTCATAAAGGCCAGATGTTAAGGAAAAAGAGCCAAAGTGCCCACCCACCCCATCCTTAACCTCCCCACCCCGCAGGGAAAGGCGACAGCTCTAAAAACACTTAAGAGTTTTTCCCAAGGATCTGTGCTTTGCAAGCGATAAACTTTCTTTCTACAAAGCGTCTTCACGGAAAAGAACGTCCTTCCCAGTGTCACGTGGGAACTGTTCTTCCTCGCCCAATTTTGGGGATGAGGGGGTGTTAGTCACTTGTGTAAACACAAAGGTCACTAGGTCCCTCAGTAAGGGGCAGATATAGCACTGCCACCCTGAATACCTCACCCACCCCTGAACCTGATCTCCCAGCGTACAGAAAGCCATTCCACCCTTCTGACTCAAGGAGTCCTCTTAACTGGGGAGTGGTCCAGGCCTAGCTCCCCTCTGCCTGCAAAACAGAACCTCTGACCCCAAACCTAATCCCCAGGCCCTACCCACTTCTGATCCATCAGATCCCTGACAACTCTCAAAATGCCTGAGGTTAAAAACAAACAAACAAAAAAAAGCTTAAGGTAACCCGCCCAGCCCAGGTTCCCTCCAAGCCCCCAGTGCCCCCATTTGTCTTTCTGCAGCCGGTTTTGCACCCACCTCGTTAAGGGGCTGAGTCTGGATGTCTGAAAAATGGATTCAGACTAGCCTAACTCCACCCCATCCCATGCACAAATTGGGGGAAGAGTACCTCGAAAGACGACTTGTTTGGTCTGATTTTATTGATTTCTTCCACCTTCCATTATTTTCCCAAAGAATTTTTGACCCCTTCCCCAGGCAAAACCAGCCTTGGGCCGCACCACTGGGCCCTCCGGCCCTCTCCTCTTTGTGGGAGGAGGAGGAAAGTGGGGCTGGAGGTCTCTTTCACCCATCAAACCTTATGGCAAAGGGAAACTCCAAAACTGGACAAAAGTCTGCTGGCTGAGACTGAAGCTCTCGCACAGGAGAATCACCTGAACTTGGGGAGAGGTAGGGCTAGGAATAGAAAAGGAAGGGGGTGTAAAGGGTTAAAGGTCTGAGTATTGGGGGTGGAGGATGCCCCCAGGGAGCTGTCAATCACTTTCCTACCCCACCACAACTCCCACATCCCTAAACTGGCCCTCAAACATGGAAACAACCGGTTTGTCCATCACCAAAGTCCGTCCCTCGGTCCCTTTCTTTTGGTCTCTGGGCAGTAGCCGCTTTGCTCCCCTAGGGTGAAGGCCCTGGCCGCCCGCTGAGGACAGAGATGGAGCAGGTCACGCAGCCTTCTACAGTTAAGGCTTTTCCGGACGCCAGCCCTTGGTTCCTGCGCAAAGACGAGGAGGGAATATCACCCCGACCTTTCAGGTGCTTGAAGATCACTGTCATTTGAGGTCCCTCGACACACAATCCATAAAACGCAAAGAAACAGACAAATTTGAGAATCAAGACACCCTCCTGGAGTCCTCACTCTGCTCGGGGACCCGATTTGCCCCCGGGTAGAGGAGACCGAATGCTCAGAGTTCTTCCAAGTTGACCCACCAGGATTTGAGGCCCGGGGGCTCGGGGACAGCGGGCCCTCCCATCTGCCACCTCCACAGCGGGTGGGCAGGCGGAGGCTTTGCGTCTCCCTGGAGGCGAAGCGAGGAAGCCGGCCCTAAGTCTCCGTCCTCTTCCACCACCAGGGCTGGGGGACAGGGGAAGCAGTCGAGGAGGCTGAAGGTGCTCGAGGTGGGGAGCGTCGGGGCGGGCC